GAAATAAAAAAAAAAAAAAAAAAAAATGTAAAAAGAAATCCAAGAAGAAAAATATCTGAAAAAAAAAAAAAAAAAATGAAATCCAAATGAAGAAAGAAAATTATAAAATAAAGTTGATAGAAAGAGAAATGTCTAAAAAAAAAAAAAAAATGAAACAAGAATAACTATAACAAAAAGAATAAATGAATGAAGCAGTTGTCTAAATAAAAAAAAATATCTGAGAATTAAAACGAAATGAAGAAAGAAAATATGAAGGAAAGGGAAAAAAATATACAGAAAAAGAAATGAGAAAACAGAAAGAATAAGAGGGGAAGCCATGGGAAGCAAAATGAGCCAAGCGTGACGAGTAATTTACTAAGTGTCAGCTGAAAACCAACCTCCCGAAATTACTTAACCCCGATGAGTTATGGCTGCCATCAGCAGCAATGCATCATGGGTCCGTTTAACCATTTCCCCGCCAAATTTTTTTTTTTTTTTTTTTTTTAAAAAAGGAAGTGAGTATTTGGGACATGGTAAAGATATTAATGCCAAACGATTCCTGACAATATTCCCCCACGACTGTTTTTTCTCCAACACACTCCCAGTTCCCATACTTAGGCAAGCTGTTTTTAAATCTCGAACCTCCCCGGTCGTTCCTCTCTCTCTCCCTCTCTCTCTCTCTCTCTCTCTCTCTCTCTCTCTCTCTCTCTGGATGTGCTTGTCTTTCCACCAGATTATCCATTTGATTTTTTCCCATCAATTTTTGTCTTGCATTTTTCTCTTCGTTTGCCAAACCGGTCTCTCTTTTTCTTTCTATTCCAATGGCTCTCTTTCCCTCTCTTCACTCCTCTTTATATTTTTAGGCTCTCCTTTTTTTCTCACCAATTCTCTTCAAACTTCTTTTTCTGTGTGAATGTTTCTCTCTCACTCTGTCTTCGTCTCCCTGTCTCTTCGTCCCTATCTATTTGAATCTATCTATCTATCTCAGTCTGTTCATTATCTATCTATCTATCTATCTATCTCAGTCTGTTCATTATCTATCTATCTATCTATCTCAGTCTGTTCATTATCTATCTATCTATCTATCTATCTATCTATCTATCTATCTATCTATCTCAGTCTGTTCATTATCTATCTATCTATCTATCTATCTATCTATCTATCTATCTATCTATCTATCTCAGTCTGTTCATTATCTATCTATCTATCTATCTATCTATCTATCTATCTATCTATCTATCTATCTCAGTCTGTTCATTATCTATCTATCTATATCTATCTATCTCATTCTGTTCATTATCTATCTATCTATCTATCTATATATCTCAGTCTGTTCATTATCTATCTATCTATCTATATATCTCAGTCTGTTCATTATCTATCATTCTATCTATCTATATATCTCAGTCTGTTCATATATCTATCTATCTATCTATATATCTCAGTCTGTTCATTTATTATCTATCTATCTATCTATATATCTCAGTCTGTTCATTATCTATCTATCTATCTATATATATATCAGTCTGTTCATTATCTATCTATCTATCTATATATCTCAGTCTGTTCATTATCTATCTATCTATCTATATATCTCAGTCTGTTCATTATCTATCTATCTATCTATATATCTCAGTCTGTTCATTATCTATCTATCTATCTATATATCTCAGTCTGTTCATTATCTATCTATCTATCTATCTATCTATCTATCTATCTATCTCAGTCTGTTCATTATCTATCTATCTATCTATCTATCTATCTATCTATCTATCTATAAGCAGCTTGTACATAGAAACCAACATTGCATGCTTACTGGCGGTTCTCGCCTTAAGGGATACTTAAGTCCACCGCCATACATATATATATATATATATGTTGGTTCACGCTGATCTTATTCTGTGTATATTCTTCCTATATCCATCTAGCTAGGTTTACATTGATGGTTTTTTAATTTCCTTTTTTTTCTGCACATAGCGACTTTTCACTCCCCTCCCCCTATTGCAGCTCTATTGCTAACTTGACCAACTGACTGCCACTCACAACGAATAACGTTCATTTTGTGTCACACCAGACATTAGGAAATATACCCATTTCTCTTCCAGTTTTTTTTATCTGATTCTTCATGTTTTCTTTTTGTTCCTCCATTTTCGTTTTTGCTTTCTTCTCTTTTGTTTTTTCTTCTTTATCCCTTACCATTCATGTGTTCTCGATCTGATTCACTGTTTGTTCTTTATTTTAAATGAACGACACCTTTTTTCTTCCTTCCTTCCCCTCTCTCTCTCTCTCTCTTATTTCTTTGATTGTTGCTTTCTTTCTTTTTATCTCTCTGTCTCTACTTCTATAATGAACTTCCACCTCGTTCTTCTCTTCATTTCTTTCTTTTTCTCTCTCTTTCTTCTTTCTCCTTTTCTTTCTTTCAATCACCGTTTCCTTCTCTTGTTATTTACTTACTTGTTTTTCCCTTGCATCTCTCTCTCTCTCTCTCCCGTTGTTGATTCGCGTTTCTCTATTTTAAATGAACGATTCCTTCCTTCCCTTTTCTTCTCTTTGCCTCTCTCTCTCTCTCTCTCTCTCTCATTCAACATTCATTTGTTACTTGCTTTCTTTCTCATATCACCCCCTCTTCCGGTCTCGTTCTTTTCATTTCTCGTTCCTCCTCCTTCCACCAACTTTTCCCGCCTTTGTTATTTACTTACTTATTTTTCCTCCTACCTCTCATCTTGTCTCTTTGTTGTCCTTAATCAACATTTTTCTCTCTTTTGTTTTCTTTCTTCTTCTCTCTCTCTCTCTCTCTCCCTCTCTCTCTCTAATAGGACATATTTTTTGTTATTGTTGTTGAATTCTTTTCCTTGTCTTCATTCATGTTCGTTGCGTGTACACGAAGTTTCATTAAGAACACTGTCCCTAACTAACGCAGCAGTAGTCTCCTCCTATCGCCACTACACGCCACAAGAGGTCGCCGCTGTTGATTGAATCTGTTCCCTTCAATCAATGGCGTTCTGTAAACACGTCCTCAGATGGAAGAGGTCAGTCTCGTTGTGGGCCAAGCAATTCCCTTCAGGGTCAGGTACTGAAATGGAATCGACAGACGACCTTACTGGGTTTTTTCATTAGTTGTTGACCCTATAGATAACCACATCTTATATGTGTGTCGCGGGGAAAGGAATAAGAATGATGTATTTTAAAAAAATAGCACACAGGATATAATGTGTTACGTGCATCTGCATTAGTTTATACATATTGATGTGTATATTTGCGTAGAACTAATGTACATTTTGTGACGTTTAGTAGGGTTCTATGTAAATATTAACGTTAAACTAACCGCATTATTTTCTCTGCTTCCTTTACAGGGACTTCTTTTTTTATACCTAATACCTGAGGAGGCATGTTGGTGTAATAGTGTCTCGGATTGAGGAATCGGTGTGCCGAGTTCGAATTCCAGTTGAATCCATTACATTCACTTACGTGCTAATACCCTTGGGAACGGTATTAATCCTCGTCTTCTGCCCCCAACTATGGGTAAATAACAGGACAGACTGGGTTCTATAGCCTTGGATTGAAAATGGCCTACCACAGAAAGAAATGCGTGAAATAATCTGCCTAAGCGTGTATCCCGTATGGCACATAACTGATTGACTGTGATAAGATGTGCTGTAGAAAATAGAGGAGGCACTAATGGATAGCGGCTCGGATTGAAGAATCAGAGAGCCGAGTTCGAATTCCAGTCGAATACATTACATTCACTTACGTGATAATATCTTTCGGAAAGGTATGAATTCTCTTCTTCTCCCCCCCCCCACCAAGCTACCGGTAAGTAGACCGGTTTCTATAGCCTTGGATGGGAACTGGTCTACCGCAGAAAGAAATTGCAATCTACTGCGGGGAAAAAATCTGCCTCGTCAGTTATGTATTGAAAGACACATGATCGCCTAAGCGTGTATAACGCATGGCATATAATTGACTGACTGACGTGCTAATACCCTTGGGAAAGGTATGAATTCTCTTCTTGTCCCCCAGTTATGGATAAAAAGCAGACCGGATTCTATAGCCTTGGATGGTAACTGGTCTACCGCAGAAAGAAATGGCAACCTTCTGACGGGAAAAATCTGCCTCGTCAGTCATATATTGAAGGATACATAATCGCTTAAGCGTCTATCACGCATGGCATATAATTGACTGACTTAGCTAAACTAAGAACTACTATTGAGCAAGTTCATAGCATCTGCTAGCCATCAAAACTTTCTCGCAAGCTGTTCTTAATGCGTTCGATTCTGTATTCGTTACGCTCCAAGAATTACGAGATTTACCAAACAGGAAGACAAAACTCTCTGTTCAAATTTAAATTTCAAATTATTTTTAATTTGAATAGAAACATACATTTAGCATCTCCACCTAAATACTGAAATTTAATTAACTAATTATTTTTTTTTTCCTCAATAGGAGTAGACAGATTTTTGAACAACGGTAAATGTCTATATCTTTTTTCCTGTTTAAGATTTGGTTTCCAGTCCCGTCTAAAGTCTTTTTATTTTCTCTCATACCTAGTAGCCTCTTGATCCTTAGCGATATTATCGCCTGGTTTTCGGGCGAATTGATAAAAAAAAAAAATGAAGATATACAGCGCCAAGTCAAACCAAAATGGCGGTGGGTATTGCTGCCAGATATGGGTCAGGGCAGCCCACTCCTCGCTTTGAAAATTGACAAAAAATGGCAAGTATCTGCAGAAAAAGGATTTAGCCCCGAGGGATATTCCTGCTGGCATGGTTGCTACATTAGTGGATGACACTCCAGCTTTATCAATAGTGCAAAATTAGGCAGCTGAATTTAGGAACGGAATGGAGAGTCTTGACATCCTGCAACTGCCACAACCGAGGAAAACATTGATCGTGTTCACAACATAGTGATGGATGACAGGCAATTGACTATAAATAGTCAATATTATTAGCACATCTCGTGAGACAGTTGAGAATATTCTGTACAATGAACTTGGCATGACAAAGGTTTCTGCTCGGTGGGTGTCATGTCTCCTGACGCCTGATCGAAAGCGCACCGATTTGATAGACAGATAGACACAAAGATAGATAGACAGATAGATAAACAGATAACCACATAGATAGATAGATAGATAGATAGATAGATAGATAATGAACAGATTGAGATAGATAGATATGCACAAAGATACATAGATAGGAAGACAGGCTCATAGATAGATAGATAGATAGATAGATAGATATGCACAAAGATAGATCGATAGATAGATGAGCAGAGATACATAATGAACATAGATAGATATATAGATAACCACATAGATATGCACAAAGATACATAGATAGGAAGACACATAAGCACATAGATAGATAGATAGATAGGCACACAGATAGATATATAGGTAGATAGATATGACTATACTGAGATACACACATATAGATAGACACACAGATAGATAGACAGATAGACACACAGATAGATAGACACATAGATAGAAAATAGACACACATATAGATAGATAGGCACAAATATAGATAAACACATATAGATAGATAGATAGGCATAAATATAGATAGATAGATACACACATATAGATAGATAGATAGACACACATATAGATAGATAGATAGATAGACACACAGATAGATAGATAGACAGATAGACACACAGATAGATAGACGCATAGATAGAAAATAGACACACATATAGATAGATAGGCACAAATATAGATAAACACATATAGATAGATAGATAGGCACAAATAGATAGATAGATAGATAGATTAATACAAATATAGATAGATAGATAGATAGATAGATAGGCACAAATATAGATAGATAGATAGATAGATAGATAGGCACAAATATAGATAGATAGATAGATAGATAGATAGGCACAATGATAGATAAAGACAGAGAAACACACAGATACATAGTATGAGAAATAATTTTTGCAGAAATAAAAATAGAAGGAAGAGAGAAAAATCAATGACCAAAAAATATATGGAAGGAAGGAAGCAACAAAAAAACCTAATAGAAAAATTATAAAGAATCAAAGTCTTAAAGATTCGTAATGAAAGAAAGAAACGGAAGTAAAGAGTGAGAGAAACATGGCAAAGAAGTAAAAGCAAGCAGTAAGCTACATTTTATCAGTCAAAAACCGACGTTCGCTTTACCCACCTGAAACGTCTGATAAGACGGCTTCACCGGTTCAACAGTTATTCTATTTTAATGACCCAAGCCCGGTCTCCCCTTACACACACACACACACACACTAAATGATGAGAGGGAGAGGATGTACTGAAATGTTATCGACCCAATTCCCAAACCCCAGAATTTGGGGTGCGGGAATGTCTTGCTGGTCGGGCTGGGAATTCTTCAGCACACCCAAAGCGTTTGTTGGTTAGATTTCGTTTAATTTTACAACCGGAATTTGAACTAAGATTAAGAGCAAGATTTGGAAGAGTGATTTATAAGTTGGGTTAGCCTTAGTAAATAGAATAAAAAAACCTCCATCTGTTGTATTGCCGCAATACAATCTTTCTATTCTCAGTTTCAAAAAATTAAATCCGACGACCAATTTTGCAATATCATATCACGGATTAAGCTCAATTTTGCATATCAGTGTCTCTGTCATATATATATATATATATATGTGTGTATGTTTATAGCTACAAATTTTTGAGCAAATGCTCTGTTTATAATAAACACTATTACCAACATTTACTGGCCTAAATGTCCGAGAAATTCCATAGAAAATATCTGTCCTCCGACAGGAATCGAACCTGTATCCTACACTGAATCGTCATATATCCTGACGTGCTATACCATTTAGCTACAGAGGAAGCGTCTGGTTAGCAAGATAAAATTACTGTTTTTAAACAACAAATTTCCGATGATTTCTCTCGAAAGCTCGAAGCGTATCTTAAAGTAAACAAATGACATCATATATTATCAAATGGACTATGTCCGACAATTATTTTTTTAATATATTTTCTGTTTATATGTTATTTTTATAGATATACATATTTAAGTAACTGCTTTGTTTATAATAAACAGTATCCACCACACACACACACACATATATATATATATATATATATATATATATATATATATATGCACATTTCATGAAAAACGACAGAAAAGGTGCTTTTATTTAGTTTTTTATGCAATTTCTCATGCGATCTAATATTTTTTTTTCTTTTCGAATGATAAATTATATAAAAACTGTCCGAATGTTTTTCTTTTTGTTTTGTTTTTATCCGAGCGCTTTCGGCTATACATTTAGCCATTTGACCGTGTTTTGAAACAAAAAAATGAAAACATTTTATAAAACAGATAGGACCCAGTCTGTCTTGTTATTTACCCATAGCTGGGTGGGGAGAGGATTTATACATTTCCCAAGGTTATTAGCAAGTAAGTGAATGTAATGGATTCGACTAGAATTCGAACTCGGCTCTCCGATTCCTCAATTCGAGCCGCTTATCCACTGCTCAACCATGCCTTACCAGCAACACGTTTTTGAAAAAAATATTACCATTATTTACATTATTCGGACTATTGTCCTCATCTTTTTCGCCATATCTATCACAATGTTTTCAGCCGTTTTACGCTCCATATTTTCTTCAGGTGAGCAAAAAATGTCGAACTGAACCCTTTATTTCGCTCACTGGGGTAGATTTTGTTCTAATTCCCGTGCCATGTTTGATGGATGTCAGTTATCAGTTACCTAAAATTAAAACCCCCTCTGAAATTTCTCCACTGCCTTAACCGGGTATTGAACTCACACTCTTTGGGTCCTGTCACTAGATCTAACTAACGCCTTTATCCACTGTGCATCTCAGAAATATAGACAGACTCTGAAGGATCGGTACGGACCCGATATACCAAAAATATGGAGACAAATTGAAAAATCCTACCAGAAACTGGCACGAATATCGGCACAGTGGATAAAGGCGTTGGTTAGATATAGTGACAGGACCCAAAGAGTGTGAGTTCAATACCCGGTTAAGGCAGTGGAGAACTTTCAGAGGGAAACTTAACAGGAGATAACTGATAACTGACATCCATTAAACATGGCACTTGGAACTAGGACAGTCTACCCCAGTGAGCGAAATAAAGAGTTCAGTTCGACATTCCAGTCACCTGATGAGGGCCGGAGCGTACACCGGCCGAAACGTTGTGATAGATATGGCGAAAAAGATGAGGACAATAGTCGGAATAATGTAAATAATGTACATAATACCTCATCTCAGAAATATAGACAGACCCCAAAATATTACCAGCAATAAAATCTTGTCGGTATTAAATGACCCATTGAGGTGTTGATATGCCGTAAACCAAACCAAACCAATCACTTCTTCGAGTCAAAGGTCAATTGTTGTCTATCCACCTTACCGTCATAATTTTCACTACATACCACGTACTCTTTCATTCATACTGTACACTTCTTTAATCATTATCCATTTGAACATTAATCCTATATCTCTTGCGATTCTTTCGAGCCTTTTAGCATTACAAAGATTATAAATATATTAATTCCTACCATGATGAAGAGACTCGAGGCGACGGAAATGTGGTTGTACAGAAGGATGCTAAGGATATCATTGACCGAGCATGTGAGCAACGATGAGATCTTAGGTTACAAACAAGGTGGAGGCTTATACTCAGTATCAGGAAGAGGCAGCTGAAGTTTCTGGGGACACAAAATGAGGAAGGAGGGCCTGGAGAATCTGATACTCACGGGTTAAATAGAGGGAAAGAGAGACAAAGGAAAAACAACGCATGACATACCTAGCGGGCTTGAGCAACTGGATGACAGAACGTGGTGTGGGGGAGATGGCAGAGGGAAGGAATTTAAGAGCTGAAAGGGATAGAAGGAGGTGGAGAGCTATGATCGCCTACGTCCTGAAAGGACATGGCACATAAAAAGAAAAGAAATTCCCACCATCCTGAAGATGTAATGGCAGGCATGAATGATTTGTCGGTAGAAATGTATAATACCGAAATTACTTTTTAGTTGGTCGGGGAAAATTTTCCTAAAGGTTTATTATTTTTTTATTTTTTTGAGTATTTTTCCATTCCTCTCTAAAGACTTCCCCCTGTATTGCATATTGGGAAAAACTCCGATCTCAGCCCAATTATTAAGAACAACCTTATATTAGGCACTCGCCGTAATTCCCCATATATAATATGCCTTCATCCATAATGCGCACCCCTAAAATTGTGCTGAAAGTGTGGGAAAATGCTTCTACTCACGCATAATACGCACCCCCTGTTTGGTAATCAAACCCTATAAACTGTACCTCTCCAATTTCATTACGGCCAGCGTTTCCTAACCTTATTTTAAAAAAATGGTTTTAAACATATAATAATACTAGCAATAGAGCCCGGCGTTTCCCCGGGGATATAACAGTAAGAGATAGATCAAGTATCGACCATCATAAAGACTGAAAAATAAAATTGACAACGATTATTGTTTAAGGTTGACGGACACGCATGTCTTAATTATATATATATATATATTTTTACGAATTGGTCAAACCCAAACTCAAACAAAAACATTGTTTTCAATCGTTATGAGTCTACCGATTGAATATAATTTTATTATAAACAATTGTCTTGTAAATGGAATTTTTAAAGGATTCTGAATGTAAAAATAAAGAAAAAAGTGTGCAAGACAAGAAGAAACACTACCTGCCAAAAAAAGTGAAGTTTTGTTGAAATCGGTTGAAAAATGTAGGAAATCCGATTCCATATATAAACGAACACACACACAAACAACCTGGGTTTTATAATAAGTATAACTCGATATGAGTTGTCCCCCCTTTCATTCTGGCAACAGAATCGTGTTTTATCGTGTTTTCAAATTGATTTCGTGCAAAAATCACTGTATTTTTCCAAATTTTGGCGCTGTCAGAAGCACCGCAATGTAATTTTACGTAGTCCTGTGAAGTTTTGTTGAAATCGGTTGAAAAATGTAGGAAATCCGATCTAATATATAAACGTACAGACACACACACACACACACACACAATCTGCGTTTTATAATAAGTAAGATTATACTAATTTAGTTTTATGATAATTCTTATTTTATTTTACATTTTGTAATTATTGTTAGGTATATATGATTGTATGTATCCTTATAGGGTCGTAATCGCCGAATGTTAGATCAAATTGTTGTATGTTTGTTGTGAGTCGTCATTTCGCAACTGAAATCGTCCTATGAAACGGCAATTTTTTAAAGATATTTTTATAGTAGTGTATAATACGCACCTCTTATTATGCTTATTATTTTTTTTAGAAAAAATACGTATTTTACATGGGGAATTACGATAAGTGTATAATTAATACCAGATTTTTATATAAAATTGTAATTAGTATCGGAGCTTTATTTTCATAATTAATACTAGACTCCACAGTAGGCACTGATGAGTTAACCGTGTACAATTTTAAAAAATGTGAAGTGGGCTCATTGATCGCAGGAAATTAGGCTTGGACTGCAAGAGTAAATATTTAGAGGCGGGGTCGATCATGGCTCACCACAATTCCCAGTCTTTTCCAGCTCTTAATAAATGTTGTCTTTTTGCGATCTCTCCATTATCCCTATTCTGCCAACCGTTTACACAAGCTGCTCCTCCTATGTTCCATGTCCCTTCAGGGCGTGGGCGATCATGACTCTCCACAATTTCCTGTCATTTGTAGATCTTAATAAATTTTTGTCTTTTTGCTATCTCTCCTAAATCTTGTTCTGTCAAGCATTTACACAAGCTCCCCCTTTTATGTGCCGTGTCCCTTCAGGACGTGGGGGATCATGGCACTCCACAATTTCCTGTCCTCTTAGTATTTTTCGCTCGCTTCGCCAGCCATGTAAACAAGTTCGTTAGGTAGCATTTGCGATGCTTTCTTCTGTTGCTATTGCTGTCAATATG